GGAGACTGTGACTACGCAAAAGGCCACACCATCTTGGTCTTCATAACTTCGATAGAAACTGAAACCCAATGCTTTGCTTCGTTCTTTTCATCATGCAGTCTTGTAAGCTTTAAATAAAGGTAAATAGTTATTCATAATATGCTTACTATTTTGTGTCCTTGAAATGCTTTTGATATAGCGCTACTCGAAACACCTCGCACAAAGTGATACCAATTATCAATGAGGGTACCTAAGGTCAGGAAGAAGATTTCATGCTAATAGGGAAGTGTTATGATCAGTAGATACTTAAATATCAAGGGCCCCTATTAGAAAGCCCCACTGGAAGCTGGTGCACGCTAGGCTTTTGTCACTACCACAGTTACTTGGTTACACAAATCTGCTGAGATGGGGGCATATTATATTAGATTTATAATCATCTTGCCATGCAACTGTTTACTTTAATACGAATTCAGCTCCCTTCAACAAAAAGAATTGATCAGTGATTCGCTGACTTGGATCCATAGCACCACTCTGCACAGATTCCTCGACATGACGTCTCCACAAATCCCTTCGACGCTAGCTTCTCCTTTTAGTTCATTTCTCCAATACAGAGATTCATCACCTTATCTTATATTTACTTTTTTCTTTCACCCTTTCTAACACCAAAGGACTTGAAGTCAGACACTGAAAATGCTCGTCGATAAATGGCCTTTTTAGGGAATAAAGAACAGGTAACTGATCCTGGAGGAAATTCAACCCAGTTCAAGGTATGCTTCCGAAACTGATGTTGGATGTCATGAACGCTTCAGGGATATGACATATCTGGAAATTTGGCATCTTCGAAGCACAGCTATATATGTTAAAACACAACAAATTCTAACGTTTTCGAGAAGAGCATAAAGCCTCCAAGCCGAACCTCACCCAGTCGGACAGTAGGTTGCCTAGAAGAGATTCATAGCTCGACCGGAAATCGGAGAATGGTCGCCCATGTATGTAGTCCCTCCATTGGCTGCAATGACGAGTACAAGCTTCATAGGTTTAAGGCGATAATTATATGAGTATACCTTCCGCAGAATTTCACATAGCGTTGCTTCACAGAAGGTATTCTCATCCGGGCTGGACTGGACTGTAGTTTCGACCTCGTCTATCTCCAACCAACAACCCCATCGGGACCCAAACTATTACCGTGCAGCGAATAATCTCGACATTCTGTGGTGGGATTGTCGATGAAATAAAGATGTAGTTGCTATAGCAATCGACTTCCTTACTTATTTTTCGTTTATAAGTAAGTTTTCGGGACTTTCGGGTTGATCATATATATTAAGTGTATTCACCATATTTCGTTGTGGGTAACTTTAACTTCTAGTTCCCTTACCGTCTTAAACGAAATAGGATGAATACACCTCATATGTATGACCTACTGCAGCCTCGAAAGCCTACTTTTAAACGAAATTAAAAATAAGTATCAGGTTGCCTTATCAACAACCGTCCCACACTATTGTGACATAACCTTTCTTTTGAAGAAAAGTTAGTCGCCTCGGAAACCCAAGATGGATTGCCTTGAAGCGAAGACTGTTGGTATGTGCGAAAAGGTTCTCGAGCTAAGCTTGTGTTTGTTCCCCTCGTTAGAGCAGGAAGCTATTATTTAATAGAAAAAAACTGGCCAAGAATTAAAGGTGACTCTGTAATCGCACTTACTTTCATATATCTTACTGTGTGATTCTTATGCGGCATTTGTTTCCGCTTACAATCGTTCCGGCAGACGTGGAAAATTGATGCAAAAAGAAAAGTTTCAGATAGTAATGACACTTTCCTTGCCAAAATAAACTAACATATGAGCCTACACTACCACAGGGGCTGCCGCGTGATCGACCGGCTCCCATGGTTACGTGGCAACGTTGCCGCCTGATACAAATCTCGTGTAAAGACACGTCCTTAGGCAGCCAACCTGCAGTCGAGCACGGAGGAAGAAGACTTATGGAGGCATGTGGTCTACTCTCTACAGAGTGGTACATTCAACTATCAACTTTAACATCGGAAACTTCTTTGCGCAAAGCAACATTCACAGCTGCAAGGCGGAAGTTTTTCAGTGCGATCAACCCTTTCTTCGAAATAAAAGTCCACTGTCACGAAAGTAGTAGAAGATTCTTGCTAACTCAGCTTTTTCCATATATCCTAAATTATTTATACTCTGTCGTTCAGCCACTTCCAGGTTGACTTTACTTGACCAACAGGCAGCTAGTCAAGTCCAACTTGGGCATATTGTCCAAGGAAATATCGATACAAAGTAGATATTTAATGTGGGCGTATCCCTAAGTCACAGTCTGATACAATTTTTAAAGATCACTAGCCTCTTCAGTTCGCTTAAACGCTGTTTTGATCCTATGGGTCTAATCAAAATGTACAAAGATTATCTTAAATACAATTGTAGATTACATGCATCGCTTTTATTATTTGAACCATTCATTGTGCACAAATTAGAACCTTATAACATCCGCCTGGAAATGTACCGACCGATCGCGCATACAATGGTCTCCGGACTAGGTACGTTCCTCTAAGTCTTCCTACCAGTAGGACCAAGTTGAGAAAACAAGGTCAAACAACTTATATATCCTTATACTTTATTAAATGCGTTGCTAATACCTTTTTTATATAAGGTTAAGTATACCATTTTGGCTCATTCTACGTATACATGCCTTAATCGCATTGTTTAACATCCATAATGTCTTTAATCAAAGACTACACATACTTAAGGGACCATCGGATCATTAAAGGAATAGCCGTCCTTTCTGCCTCGTTGCCGAAATCTGTTGGAGTAGTTCGAATTGGTTGCATAGATGGAATGTTTTAAGGAAAGTCAGATAAAGTAACTAATGGAATCCACATGAGTTACATGGTTGGATGGACGTAACTAGCCGGCTAGAGTGACTGATAGACAGGTTGACTTATGGATTTATGTGCAAATGTGCCATAGTGGGAAAAAGAAAGATTTGTCGACAAGTGCATGTGTGAACATGGCGTAAGAAAGGCGCATCAATCCCGAATTACAGACTCCCAACATTTACATATAGGCAGCAGTCATGACGCCAACTGAACCAGAAGGGAAAACAGTTTTGGGCTTAGTATTATGTAAACGACA